AAGTATGATGTTCAAGTGAAAATCAACGATGGTCGGATGGATGAAGTGCGCAACTAAGAGTGGAAGGGACCGCATCCTTGAACGTCCACGAAATGACCTTGGCGCTCCTCCCCAATCAAGATTATCCAAAGCGATCCGGGATGCGACATCGTAGGAGGATGGGAGAGTGGAGATCGGATCCTCCTTCACTCTTTTCAATAAATAACTACAGTCTCTATTCACATCTATGGTATTCTCCGCGGTTTTTTTTCGAAACAGTTTATATGCATTTCTTCCAGCACTTGCTTCTCTCACATCCTGAATTACTTTCTCTCCTTCCCCTCACCTCCATGTTATCAATAAATCCACTAACTCATAAGCAGTACTCGTATTATCTTTCGTATCCTTCCTGTCAGTAACAGTCTGCATGATCATATGAACAAGAAGTATACACTTCACAACATTCCCAAGTAATCATTTCCACCCATTAGAAAAGGAAAAGTGGGAGGTGTTTGATACAGAAGTGCACAATCGGGGTGTATACTGAGACCCTAACTAGCAATAAGTACGGAAGAGAGGAACCTGTATGTGACACTTCCCGTGATCATTACCTGAACATCACAACAAACTCCTTGCCCTTGTTTCTATAATCTCTCCTGATGTGAACATTTGATGGGTATGATGGTTGCAAAGTTGGATCGGCGACTAGCAATGGTTGAGGATCAAGATGAGAGTGGTGTATGGGGGGAGTAAAATCAGTGAAACAATGCTGAGCTACAAAGCTACCATATTGGAAACTGTGTGAGGTTTCGAGTTGACGAGAGGATAGGAATGCAACTCACACAGATACATACAGGCGCAGAGCCAGTAACAGTACACATAACAGTGAGACAGCTTTTAGCGCCGATGTTTGGGAAAATGGTGATGATCTGTTCCAGCGATCCATCCGGGACATCGAAAGCCATTATCGGGCTTGCTTGCCTCCCTCTTCTTCCTCACTCTCAGCTTTCAGCACTGATAAACAAAGGAACCGATAGTTCCTCCTCTGACTGCTCCTAACTCCTGAAAACTGCTGCAGTTTGCAGTTATCAGAGAACCTAGCCTATATATGTCAAGATTACTCACCCATTAGTACTAGCTTTGTTGTCATCATGAACATTATCATTATATGATGTTGTTATCAACTACCATTATCACTGTTTCCGTGTGATCCCCCTAACATTGCCAATGTTATCATTAGCACTATTCCATGTTACCATCTCTACCTGCTTTGTAAGCAATTTATCACCAATAGTAATACCAGGCGATAGATCATTTGTTTTGCGACCTCACAGATTTACACCAACAGATTCATTTTCCCGGAAAATTTGCATATTCATGTCTATATTCACCAATGGAAGGAAGAGTGCGCTGGAAAGAATAAAACAAGCGAGTGAAATTAGTAATTAATTGCATGCAAACTTGAAAATTTTCGAAGTTTTGAAAATGCAGTTAGTAATAAAACAAAACTTATAAATTAGAACTAAAATTAATATAATAAAGGAGCTCCTTTCTGAATTTTTAAATCCTAAGCTCGAACCCGCTTTCTTTAAGGAACGACTCCAAAGTCTAATGAAATTTCAGGTAATATCATGGGTAGGGAAAGGGTGGAATAGATGTAGGGAATGAATTAACCAGTTACGACGAAACGGATGAAGAAGGAGGAGGGAGAAAGATGGTAGTGGTGGCGTAAGAGTGAAGGTCGGATGATTGTTTTGTACGGGAAAATGCGACGGGGTGAACTTGATACACTAGGGCAAACGAATCGTCTCGAGCCGACCTAATTTTCCTTATCAACTTTCTGCTCTGACTACTTTCCCCCGACCAAGAGGCACATGTTCTGAGCGAAGAAAATCCGGACCACCACCACTGTTTTACTTCTTTCCACTCTTCAGGGAACTCGATTTTTTGCGGCTCCGGCTTACCTTCCCTCCTGCACCCCGTCTTCTCCTCCTCATTGCCTTTTTCCAGAAAATTTTTCCTTCGTATGGCTTGGATCGAATAAGGTTAAGTTAGTGGAAGAATTTTACGGAGAATGGATCATTGCAAGTTGTTGCATGATATACTTCGTTTTCAAAAGATTAAGAATGGTCACTGTGGAGAAGGATAAATTGAACTTTGATGTGACTTTTTATTTCCCGAGCAGTTGAGATGCAATCGCAGTGTCATCTATGAAATGTTCAGAACCTGGCCTAATCAAAAATTTCAACAATACAATGAACCCAAAGCACTACCAGGAGGAACGATTAAATCAACCAGGAAATAAAGCAGTTTGAGCACTTTTCCTTACACTTTTTTATGACCTTTTAACATTTGTCATGAAATGAAGAAAAGGATAAAAAATTCCTGATAACAATTCGATATCACCTCATTCTCACACAACCCATATTTTTTAATCAGACATGAACCATCTCTTATCATTTTTTCAAAGAACATTAAATTCATAGAGAGTTTGAAAGGTAGCATGATAACCTGATGATGATGATGATGATGATGTTCACCTGTCAACTTCTTTCTCGTAACGAAAACGATGAACAAAGGTCAACAGTGATATTACTGAGAAACTATTGTACTTCGCATGATTTAAAGGGATGAATAACGTACCAGTAAAAATTTTTTTACCGCAGCTGGATAAAACAGTTACCATTTCGTAATTGCATTGAAATAAAGAGTAGGTTGGAGAGTTGAGAAAAATTACTATAATAATTATTTCAGATCAGATGGTCAAGCAAAAAGCATTCTATATGTCACTATTCAATATCCGATTCTACCCGCAAGAAACAAACTTTTAAAATTAGAATGAATATAATGGATTACAGATAACCAACCGGCTCAGAGACATTTTACTATACACAATATGACAATGCTAAATGGGAAATTATGAACATTTTCATTTATAGAAGATATCCGAAGTCATAATAACACATCCAATATATGGGAGAGACAAGAGAAATAAGAGATGTATGGTAATAACCTAAAATGAATTCTCTACCGCGAAATCTCGATAAATAAAGTAGGAGAACTGCCTGGATCTTGGAAGAAAACGGAATTTAGTTTGGAGGACGATTACAAAATGTGGGTAGTTTTGATTGCTGCACAGACGTAACAGCACTCGCTCTTCTATCCTTAGGTGATGTGTGTTGTGGTAGTAAAGGGTGATGTGATGGTGGTTCTAGTAGGTCCCTGTTTCTTCCCCTTCCCGTTCAGTTCGGCTGGGTTGGGTATCGGCGATCGGCATCCGTCTCCCCGGAGGCCGACCGCCCGCCCTCCTACATTTTTCCAAACTTTCATTTTGCCGAAGGTCACGAGCCTCCACAGAATGAATCTTATGGCAAAACAGAAGACAGCGACAACACTGTTATGCAGCAACCGTCATTCGAAACCCAAACACTATTAAACGTTCACTTAATAAATGTTCCACAAAGAGCGCATCATTCCTTCCTTACTTTCCCTCCGTGTTCCATTCCTGTTCCTAAATTCATACTATTCCTGTCATCTCATCCGTTTCTACTACCCGTCCTGTTTCTTCTCCTCTCTGTTCACACTACTTTGAATTACCAGAACGAACACCGATTTAGAAGTGATTTTATCATCTAAACTGAAATTTGTTTCTCATTGCCTCAGCAGAAAACGGAAACAAATCTTAGTGAAAGCCATCCAGAAAAATGAACAATCTAATTAAATATATAATTTAAATGTGCAAAATGAAGTGAACAGAAAAAAAGATAAAATCCAGAACTTTGGACTGCTTTATGAAAAACTGAATTTGAATCCACCAAATTTCATGTGCTTTTTTCACAGCAAAATGGCTTATTTCTGTGGCAACCATCCTTGAAATTGCTTTAACTCTAATTGGTCCCCTACCAGTAGGGAAAGGATATGTCAGAATGGTACATCATCTCATTCTCATTTAAAATTGCTTCCCAATTAACGGTACAAATAACAATTTTTTCTGTAATTCGACTTAATCATACTTTACTAAATCAATCGTTACCACTTCATTTTATCATCGTATTTAACAATAGTGAAAAATAGTGAAGAATTAGAAATACGTCGAAAGCCTCCAATTAATTATTCCAAATGTTTCGTGGAGATTTCCCAGAAAAAAAATATTATCGCCATGTCAAAGAGAGGAAAATTTTTGAAGATTTTATCTTTTGTATAATTATCATCTTATGATCCTTATGATTTTTTTATAGTAATAATGATTGTAGTAATAACAATGATAGATAACGATAACGATTTGTAAACGAATGCCATTAGTCATACTATACTGCTTTCTCCTTTTGTCTCCCAGTTTTGTTCTTTTCTTTTGTCATTTCGTCCTCTCTTCCATTCATTCTCCTCCTCTCTTCTTACCTGATTGAATGATACCTTAACTATCCTAAGTTTCGAACAGATGCTGTAAGCTATGAGCTTGAAATATCTGTTAAACTGATAAAACAATATATCTTATGAGTCAACCGTGGTGATAACATTATGTGTTTGAAGTGATTGTTACAGTCGTATAGCATTGATCTAATTCATACAAAATAGAAACTGTTTTAGAGTTGGACAGCTGTTGAACATGTGTGTATTTATTTTGTTATGCTTTGAACACTTCTTCCGCGAATTTCTTTCATATACCAAATGATGATAACGGCGGCTTTTTGCAAGCAAAATTTTTTTAGGCTTGAAGGTTCATTGCATGCCATTCTCTCTTAAATAGATAATTCCTTATGCATGGAAGAGGCTTTTCATCCAATTAACTCTGGAAGATTTCATCGATGAATAAAAATTTTATATGCAAAAATTTTAGGTTGCTGACAACAAAGAGCTGAACGGCTTTTTGTTACGTTACACATCTACTATGCTTTGTTTAAATTGTTATAGCTTACTGTAAAGCTTTTTATCCATAAAGATTGAAAATGGTTGTATCAAAAGAAGCTATCTCAAGCGAGCTGTTCATGCCAGCCAAATCGTTTAGTTAACAAAATTCTTTGCAAAGCCATATGCAAATCAGATGAGTGTCTTTGTATTATTCGTAAATGCGAATGTGAGATTATATGTATGCATATACATCTTACAGTTTACTTGTGTTATTTTTCAATTGACAGTTGTCTGGTGCTTTTGGTCAACAAACATGAGGGATGGTGCTCCTCCATTAACTGTTCAGGCTGGCAGTCTTTTAAATAATTATCATTTTTATGGATTGAAAAGCTTTATCTCATTAAATTATGAAAGTGCAATTGGGAACTATTTCCCGTAACACTGACAATACTTTTTAACACATAAATTTTAAAAAATGAATAAAGAATTAAGGATGACTGATCAATTAATTTACATTGCTTATAGATCAATTTTTTGAGAAACGGAATTTACCGTCTTTTACACTCCATAGCAGCAATGGATTAATTTCCTGTGCATGTTTCGGAAATAGGATAGTATGGTTGAACTTCCGGTCTCACGTCACATCGATAACGTTGGCGCCAGATGGTGCTAGTTGTACAAACAGGACAATGTGTTCTCTGCACTTGTTCTTTATACGAATAATTTTGGCAGATAAGCAAACATATATGGCAATAAGCTAGGAGATATATTTTTAGTATATTGCAAATGTTTCTAACTCCACTTATTATCAGTTCTTATCATTTATTTGTAAAATTGCATGAAATGCCGATTCATTTATAATTCTCATTTTTTAAATAAAAATTTACACGAAATGGTGGTGGTAAAAAGGATAGTTGTACGAATCACTCTTTGCTTATACCTTTTCTAGTTCCCCAATGCGATAATTTGGATCAGAATGTTCCTTTCGTTTCTTTGAAATTAACAAGATTTTTCGAAGCTCAATTACGTTTACTGACTATTTGGGTATGATTGCTTCGAGAATTTCAATGGCAGCATAGGCTTTTTTTGTTTTTTTTTCTCATAAAAAAACATTAAT